CCAGTGCATGGAATCTGACTATCCTGGGCAATATATATGCTGTGCACAAGGCGATCTCAGTGAACAGTTTAAAGGTGAGTTGTTTGGCATTTTGTAAGCAAATAAGTATTAAAAAGTTCAAAGTTAAAAAAGTGTAAAATAGTTGTTGCTGAGAGCTAGAGCGGGTGCTAGTCATCTGAAGCTAAAAGTTGAATAAACTGACGGATCGGCCGTACCTACGAAGGGACTACGGGCCCAATTTGACTCGTCCATCTAGGTTAGAAGAACTTTTAGTGTTGACGGGGTTCTCTGCAGACAACGGACCTACTGGGTACTGTAGCGCAAGGATACCCCAAAATTCACACACACAACTGGTTCATCGGACGAGTTCAAGGGCTTGGGAAGCTGTTCCGGGGTAGTGGGCGGAGCTATCCGCGGCGCACACAACATCGCGATGCGTTCTAGACTGAAAGAGATTGTGGGTGAAAGCAAACTCAAACTTCTTGAATTATGATTCTCTATCAGCCGTTTTTAAGGTTTCTGTCCACCAAATCAAATTCCGTACGTGGCCCGTGAAGGTTTTCCAACAACGTGTCACATGCAATTGAATCCCTGCCCAACAACAGCACCATACGTCTGCATATATTCGGCAATGAAACAGGCAAGTCTTTTCTTTCCTTTTTCCGGATGTGCAGAATTTTTTCGAAGACCTCTTAGAACGTAGCAATTTTAGGATTCTTACTGCTGTGCACCAATTGACACGACTGCACCCAGTCTGCCAGATCCTTCGTTGGCTGCTGCTCCCATGCGCAGAATTGCTGGCGAATATCCGGACATTCCAACTGCCCCACCATCAAGCCCGTATGCCGGTATGTCCCAAACATTCCCTGGTGGACCAATCGCACCCGGCATGGGCCCGGTGGCCATTCCCGACCCGATTCCAGGAGTGCGACCAGAGAAGGCAAGTTGTTGGTGTTGTTTATTCACTCCCTTCATGAAGAAATCTCTGATTTTTCAGATTCTGCCCCCTTCACTTGCATCGAATATCAACCAAAACGTTAACGGCAACAATTTACCTCCTACTCTGATCGCTACCAATCTGGACCTCAGTGCAACTGGAAACAACTTCAATTACAATAATAATAACGGATACGGCTATCCTACTCAGAATATGAATGGCTACGCCATTAATCAGATCCCTATTGGAGTACCATTAAGTGGTGTTCCGCCAAATATGGCTTCAGAAGTCGTTGATCGAGTCCTCAGCCAAATGAGTCAAATGTCCGGGCAGAATTTCAATGCAGGAGGCAATCCGTATATGGTCAATAATGGCAATCCCCATCAACCAGGAGCCGGGCAAACTTTCAGCAGCCATTGGCCTAATCCGGAGCAGCAGACCTTCACTGGTTGCCCACTGGGATCAAGAGCTCTGGTTAGATCTGACCGCAGCATTGTCACATGTCATGACCAGACGTGTCCGAACGGATTCTGGTGCGTATTTGCGGAAAGGGTGAGTTTTTCAAGTCTTCTTACTTTACATGAACTCGCTTAAAAGTGAAGGATAAGGTTGTATTAAGCAGAATAGGACAAATAATCATTCTCTACTACAAAGCTTACGCAGTAGTTACGAAGTAGGAAAGGTTAAACGGCGTGCGTATGCGGCGCGTGGGAAATGACGTCACTTCGGCGCCGCGTACCAATGAGCGTTGCGGCCGCCGCTGCATTTCGCCTACTCTGATCGCTGCTCCGATAAGTAGTATAAGAATTTGGAAAAAAAATTATCTTGTCTTACTCTACTAGTTGATTGATTCGCTGTCAGTAAAATCAGCGTCAAAAGGTGCCGAAGAACTTTTTCATATTAATAGATCATTGACCAGTCGAGTGCTGATTTCAGGAAAATCGCTTCCAATGTTGCTCATCGTCAACGATTTTGAGTAATTTGAAGAAACCAGAGTCGTCATCACCGTCGTCATACATGGTAACTGCGGCATCGTCGACTGACGTACCAACAAGTCCACCTCTGGTAGTGGAATGTCCGCCTGGGTTCTTTCTTGTTGACGGTAAATGCCTCAAAGGTAAGTTTTAAGGAACTGTACTACTTTACTAGAAAGTTCAGCTCAACCACGACCATTTGTGAATGTTTCAGTTTTGTTTGCTGGACAAAAAGGTTGTCTATCGGATGAACAGTGCTCGGCCAGAGAAGCGAATGCCACGTGTGACAGCGGATATTGTGTATGTCCGGCTGCAAAACCTTTGGTACATGTTGGAAAGTGTGTCGCTGCATGTCCGGAAGGTTTCGTCAACATCGCAGGAAGGTTAGCGAAAGTCGTAAAGTTCCCATTAACCTCAACCGACTAGAAAAAAAAACCACATTAGATGCTACGATCCAACTACAGTAATCTTCATGGACTCTGTGGATGAACGGACTAATGGAACAATTGGAGGATACTGCCTGGAGACGCTTGTTGAAGAAAAACGGTTTGTTTTGGATTTTTTCATACCCCCATATCACAGTACGAACTGGCGACCACATGGGATGCATGCGTGCCTTAAGGGCGTGCGATTGGTTGCATGCTCGCTGCAACCAATCACAGGAGGTTCCCCTTGGCGCCACGCCCTTTCAACCCATGGCCAAGAATGTCTTGTGGATCCCTTTAGGCAATCTTATCTGCATGTTCGTTTTTCCAAATACCGCATTTTACAGATGTCTTGTGGAGAACAGTTACTGTAGTGAGAAGACAGTAACATGCCAGTGTAAGATCGGCTACACATTGAATATGGACTTTAACAATAAGGAAGACAAGGTACGGCTCTTCATTTCTATATGCGCTTAATTCAAAGCTCAATTTCCAGGGCTCCTGTCGGCAAGATGAATCCTCGAAATTCATAAAGTCGCCCAAACCAGAAAGGATGCCAGTAATTGATGACGAACTTTACTTTGTTGACATTGGTAGGCTTGAAACTCGTCCAAATTCGAATCAGTAACCGACTCAGAAGTTTGTTCAGGATCTAACGCATCTGATGCTGGCGAGACACCGTCTAATTCAACGTTAGAAGACGACATTGATGAGAAGAAATACCTTTTCCAAGCCGATGAGCTCGAAACACTCCTCGCATGATCGTATCCTCCACGAAATTCTGACACACGTGGACTTTGATGTTGACAAAATAATTTCCCACAGTTGTTTGTGAACTGTTTGAAACCTGTGATTTCTCTGCTGAAAGAGAGTTACGTGTTTGTACATATACTGCCAATTATTTATATTTAAATATATTATTGTAATAAATATTAAACTGAAGTCTGCTGATGGTAAAGAAGAAGATGATGATGCATCACACTGGAGAAACAGTGGGGTCATGTTTTCGCCTCGTTTTAGGGTCATTGAGAAGAAGGGTAAATGAACCCATCGAACAGCTTGGATCCTGTGCCTATAGGGCAAAATTGAGGGCACTCAAAATTTGTCCTACTTGTGGAGATCATGCAGTTCATGCATTTTATTTTTGATATCTGTGCTATATGAGGTGTCAGACCAAACTAGTTCATAATTATGTACCATGTCATATGTAGTGAGATAAGCGTAACGATGTTTGTCGGTGTTATTCCACCAACACTGTGTTAATCATCAAATATGTACACAACTTCCTCATATATCCCCTATACATTCACTGCTTTTGAGATCCAGCTGAAGTTTCCCTTTATCACCTGTGCTCTCGTTGGTCATTATTCGTTCACAGCGCTATCTACTTCTATTCCCTTAGCCTGTTGAAGTTTTGGTGAATCTGTTTTTTCCGAAGAACATGGAGGTCTCAAGACCACTGGACCTTCCTATCAAAAGCCTGTCTGGCTGATACCGTTTGACGCACCGTAAGACTCAGGCTGTAACTACTCTAGTCCTTTGGTCACTGGGAAATGGTGCTAATGCCCGATCGATAATTATGATATGCAAGTTTAATTCTAGTCGGACCGCGACATTTAGTACACCGTTCTGTCTGAGGAAGCTGTTAATCGAAGAATGAAGTCTTTGGCGTTGATCAATTCCGTCGTATGCGCCGCGCATTCTACTTCCATTCAGAATCGCAGTGGCGTATTAAACGCCTTCTAAGTCATACGATGTCTTTTGGTAGGCAGTTGATGTACAAGCTAGTCTCCCCAACCAGTCTAGCGCCCATTAAACGAACCCAAAGGGTTGCTAGAATTTGTTGGCAAGGAGATAGATCAATACGGAGTCCGTTCTCCAGAAAAAGTTGTATTTTAGTGCATGGGGTACCTCCCTATGACAACCGTTTAGTAATGAGTCCTAAATAGAGTGAGGTGGAAAAGGAATTACTTTTTGAAGAGGGACGCTCACTCAGGGAACTATTTGACTCATGTTTCGGCATGGTGTATCTGCTTCTGAAAGGTGTAGATCGTGCCGCATGTAGACGTTCAATGTCTGACATTTCAAATTTTCAGTAAATTTGTTGTCTAGCTCCAGGTATCATCCTCAAACTCTCACTTATATGGAGGTCAGCGTACTACGATTTAACGTCAATGGAAAAGATGTCAGAGTTTATAATGTTGACCCAGAAACATCACTAGCAGACTATCTACGAAACGAACGTGGGTTTTGATTAGCCAATTCGACGTGCTTCCTCTTAGGAACACCCTTTCTCTTTTCCGCAAATGTAACACTACTGCTTTGCTTTGTTCCCTTGAAAATATCGAGTAGAACTGTTTTTAGTTGGTCTGACTGGTGTGAAACTTTCTTGCGAATGGGGAGCATGTGGATCATGTACGGTAACACTGGGAAAATGGAACCACAAGTTGGGGAAAGCAACGTGAGTCTGTTTTCTCTTCTGATGTTTTGTGATGGCGTGTGCCAGCTCCGTCTGTGATTGGTTGAATGGTAGATTAACGGGAATCAACCAATCACGGACGCACATGATGAAATGCAATACTGTATTTTGTGGAGCGCTGCTGTCGATTTATTTATTTATTTATTTAATTTATTTACTTCTGCTGTATTGAAAAAAATTACATATCGTCTGATACTATCTTCAGGTATAAAGCGATAAATGCTTGCATATATCCACTGTATATGGCTCACCACAAGTTGATCTTGACTATAGAAGGGATTGGTAATTCAAATAGGCTTCATCCAATTCAAGAACGTCTTGCTCGCAGTCATGGCACTCAGTGTAAGTCACAACTTGTAAAATTGTTTTTTAAAAAATCATCGAAATAGAAGTACCCTTGGAAAAACGTTCAACCGGTTCAGTCACTAAGGCGCGCGTCAACAGGCTATAAATTTTGCTGCATTGACCAGGTTCTGATGAACTAAAAGGGGCTGGAATCCATTCTGGAGTCATATGCTTTGCTTCATCCATCAAGAAAAGCCCTTTGAAACAAAGTTGTCCGCAGGTCGCACCTTCAATCCCTTGCGTACCTACCTCTCTACAGAAGCTATGCGAAAAGGCTTGCGCCCCTGCTCAGGGCACCGTTTTTCTGAGCAATTTTGTTTGAAATATTCCTACTGACTATGACGATCCCTGGCGTCGTCATGTAACTTGTCGCTCACCTTGCCACACCTGAGCAACACGCGCTATCAAGGAACGAATAATCAATACAAGGTTGTTGTGCGCGACCGGTGCAACATCCGCGCAGCCGTGTTCTGAATTGACTGAAAATCTCTGCACTGCATAATTATTATGAGGAAACTAAAGACCTGCCTGCATATCGTTGTTCAGTATAAATACCAAAATAAATTTATTTCATATTTTCATTCCCCCATTCCATTTCAGGTGGCTTCTGCTCACCAGGCTTTGTGATGGCTGCCTATGGCCTTCTTCGTGAATATCCTAATGCTTCTATTCATGATATAAAACATGCCGTTAAAGGTTTTCTCGGAAAACTTTAATTGCTTATTCTGTATTCCCAATCAATATTGATCATTTCAGGGAACCTATGCCGTTGTACTGGTTATCGGCCAATACTTCAAGCTTTGTACTCGTGCTGTAAGGAATCTGTTAGTTGAGCGCTTCCTTTGATGTTGCTAAATATACTGGATATATGTAACGTAACAGCTTGAATAATTACTACAACAGAACTCAGATTCCTGTGTCTACGAAGAAAATGGAAGGACCATCACTAATGGAGACCTCTTCGAATCTGCTAAGTTCCCTGTAATTGATGAAACACAAGAAATACTATTCCCTCCAAGCTTAATTGTAAGCTTTTCAAGCTCTTCGCTCTGTCTTGTAAAGTGATTTTTGTCATTTTTCAGATGGAGAACACAGCAAGCGATCTTTATCTGGAGGGGGCTCGAGTGAAATTGTTAGCGCCGGTATCATGGAAGGATATTGATGACTGCTTTGGGCAGTACAACGAAGTGAAGATTTTATCGTCCGGACAGATTACTAGAATAAGTTGGTTACATTTCAAAACCCATACTTGAGACGCAATATAAAATACTAATAACATGGTGATTTACAAATTTTTTTTCGGTGAGCTAGGGTGAAGGTGGTGTAGTGGCAAGTGGCGCACCATCTCACACGCGTGGTTACGGGTTCGAATTCCGGATCGATCTCTTCCGGTGGCCAACCAAGTCTTCCATCTTCCGGGGTCGGTTAATTGGTACCTGACTCATCTGGCAATATAGAAGTACTGAATTTTACGTCGGCTGGCCACCGAAATTCATTGTATAGACCAAATACGCATTCAATAGCCACGACGGTTCTGAATGGAAGCCGAGTGCGTGGACGCATCCACAGACGGGATTGATCAGCGCCCCAAAACTTCACCAACAGGGTGTTTTATCTATCTGATGGCAGAGTTGGAGTGATTACAAGCCGTGGTGCAAACTATCGTCAGCATAGTCCTATGGTAAAATCCAGGTTCTATAAGGGTACAGCCTAACACAGCTCCCCGTCTGCACCAGAAAATGTGACCAGTGTATCCACAACCCACATCTGATCACGACATCTGTGATTGGTTGACTCATGGTCCAATCGAAAGTACCCAATCACACGTGCACGCCTTTTTGAAACAAAGCCCTTCCTTGTAGCACCAACAATCAGAAAAAAGCTCTAGTGCGTTGCTCATCCTAAATAGAAATATCTTTCAAATACTACAAGATCTACTTTCATTTTACTTACCTACTTCAGACTCTGCCCTGCTTCAACATCAAATGCAGGACGCCATTTGGGTTAGCGTCCATAACTTGCCTTCGATGGAAGCTATGGAGGTGACCCAACAGGAAGTTTCAATCGGCGCCGCTCTCAGTATAATGGATCTAGCCAGAGCGATGTACGAGAACTGTGACCGAGGACTTGGTGTACCAGTATGGAAGTATTTCGAAGGTTTCCTCTCGGTATCAGTCATGAACAATGCAGTATGTCATTTTTGTATAGCGTTTCATTATCATACTATACAGTGCGTCGCCAGATGATACAGCCACCTCTGATTTTCCCAAAAACTC